CCCCAAAACCCCAAAACCCCGTGGTTACGATTCAAATGGTAAAGGTAGGTGAGTATGAAAATTATTTAAATTATAAATTATTAAAGTAAACAAGTAATGTCATTAAGAGCTTTATTAGAGATCGTTGTGCATTTAGAATCCTTTAGAAATATTGATCTCTTCTTTCAAGGACTATACTATGTAAAAGTCACGCTTTATAACACTAAAAATGATGAAGTAAACATCCATCAAAGTTGATTTATTTCTTTTCATCTAGTAATACTATGCGAATCCTTACTGTGTATTCACCTCTAAAATTTCATAAGAGAAGCAGAGAAAGCTAAAAACAGCAGATCATCATCATTTAATTCCAGCACAAATATTAGAGGATTAGTCTGCTTTCTTGTCTAGAGCATTTTTAATTAGATATTGCGAAGAAGAGGTTGAGATTAATGATATCGGTTTGTTCAGAGCGGAAATTGATGTCGAACCAGAATATCTAAACACAACCTTCAATATGGATGTTGAGCTGTTTTTCTCTGATTTAAGTGCACTAGGAGGACCAGATAAATGGCAATAAAATATTTAGGACATTGAGTCTAAAGCAGTTTTCAAGTCTGTTTCTATGCAGAAGTTTAAAATACACAAACTTGCTTAGGGTATGTCAGAATTTGTACCAATAATATTCGAGGATTAATACTATGCAAGTCTAAATTGTTTAGTAGAGGCTACTCTATTAGATTTCAGATTTAGAGTGAGACAATTTAAAAATATACAAAGTGACATTGCGTCGTTTTAAGAGCGTGGAATTCTTGTCAGAACTCAAGATGGGAACAAGAAGTAAGATATGACAGGAAAAATGAAGCAGACTAAGGATGATCAAGATGTTTTGATGACTTAAATACCAGCTGATACAAATGGTGTGTAAAACAGTCAATGGAATTTCAAGCCTAATAATGTTGCTGAATTTTTCTTTGCTGATGATTCTGGTGAAATGCCTAAAGAGTTAAATATGAAGGAAGTTGATCTACTCTATAATGATTATATCAGAGTAATGACTTGTATGCATGAGAGACTTAGGAATTAGTACAATACCTATGTTACTAAATTTATGGATGAAAATCAGAGAAGAGAGAATGGTATTGAGCCAGAAACGCAAAGATTAATTTTACCAGGGGAAGATGAAGACTTGTCTAAAATGTTCGAATAGAGCAAAGGGGCTGAAGATGAAGAAATAAAAGAGGAAAAGTTCTTTGGGTAAGGAATGATGGGATAACCTTAGAAGAATGGTGATAATAACACTATTCATCAAATAAATAGAAATGGTTAAATTTTAAGAGACGAGGATGGAGTAAATGAAAGTTAATACAATATAGATGATACAAATGAATCATTCAGCGAAAGAAAGAATTAGACAAATATTCCAAGCTTGAAAAATAACAAAAATGCAATGAATAAAGCTACTAAGCCATTCTCAGAGAGATTATTAAGCGGTGAAATGAAAATAGATCCTAATGATCCTCTAGCTGTAGCCAATTAAATGATTCTTGAAATTAACCTTCTAGCAGGAAAAATGCTTATTCTCCAGCATAAACTAATTGATGCATTAAAAATTAGTCCCAGATTTGTCACTGAGCATCATCATTTCGAGTTCAAAGAGAAGATGAGGGATAAATGGGGTGAAAGCATTTTTAGAGAAGTAGTCCCAACTTGTGATTTCTCTGTCCCAAGTGAGGAGAATATTGGAGAAACTCACAAGAAGATCGCAAAAACTAGAAGAGCAAATTTGCTCTACCAGGATAACGACTAACTTAAAGTAAAAATTTAAATCGAACATATACATTATAGATTGAGGATTAATCAATATTTGGACAATAGAGCATCCATCCAATTATTTTTGAAGAATGCTACGTAAAGGATGATGATCAAAACTTTGTAAAAATTGTAAAAAATAGTGCCGATTTAACTGAGCAAAAACTACTTATGAGTGACAAAAATGGAGCTGACTAATAACAGAATTATATGTAATAAATATATGTTTTAAATACTAAAGTGGAGTGCATTTATTTGTATTGGTGCATGGCTTCCAAGGTAACTCTTGTGATATGAGACTATTGAAAAACAATCTATCTCTTATGCATCCAGATGCGATATTTTTATCAAGTACTTGTAATGAGGATTAAACTGAGGGAGATATATTCGAAATGGGAGAGAGACTGGCAAACGAAATAAAGCAATACATTTAGTCCTTCTGTCCAGTTTCTTGCCTTGCAAGAATCAGCTTTATTGGGCATTCACTTGGTGGCCTTATTATTAGGGCATCTTTGTAACACTTGGAAGAATTCAAAGACAAATTCTATTCATACATGTCTCTTTCCTCTCCACATCTAGGCTATATGTACAACTCAAATAAACTATTTGATGCAGGTATGTGGTTCCTTAAGAAATGGAGAAAATCAAAGTGTCTTCAGCAACTTAGTATGACCGACGCCAAAAATATGGAGGATACAATAATTTACAAGCTGTCATGTGCAAAGGGTTTATAATGGTTTAAAAATGTTGCCTTAGTGAGTTCATATTAGGATTAATATGCGCCATTTGATTCAGCTAGAATTCAGATTTGCAAAAGAGCAAACGATGACGCAAAGAAAGGAAACGTATATATTAAAATGGCTTAAAATGTGCTTGAAAATTTGTCTACCAGGTTGCTATACAGACTTGACGTCAACTTCAAAATCAATGATAAGTAAGATTTTGAATTTTCCAATTTATTTTTTCTTTTAGAAATCTCGATTCATTTATCGGTCGAACAGCACATATATAATTTTTAGAATGCTAGCCACTAATGAAAATGATTGTTTATCGTTATAGAGAGTTTTTCTCTTGAATCTATGTTAAATTATTAATAATTTTGCACTAAGTGTTAATTTCTCATATATATTTGTGTTTTGTGAGAGAGTTGGTAATTACAGGGCCATGGCCTAATGGATAAGGCGTCTGACTACGGATCAGAAGATTGAGGGTTCAAGTCCCCCTGGCTCTGAGTTTTTTTTCGTACTCATTACCTCTAGTATTTAATATAGACTTACCAGAATTTTAAATCATGCTCATTATTTGACTAATTTTTGCTTGTCGGGGTTTTGGGGTTTTGGGGTTTTGGGG